GTTTGCTTTAGCCATTCAGAGCATGCGCATTTTTTTGCCATCGTCAATTCCTAGCCTGTTGAATTACAGTCGACTTCCAATAATTCGAACCTTCAAGAGAAATTGGTAAAGGTTCGGGTTAACCGGAGTTCGAGTTATTGGGAGTGAAAGGTACAGGTACGTAGTTAGAGTGCCTATGACACGAAATAGCTGTATTTAATATGAGAAATAAACGACCTTAGCGCCTAGCGAGTTCTCCTTGACCATTTTTTTGTGCATTGAAAGTACGATTTGGCGGCCAAAAAGTGATCCTATTAAGCGCGCGGCCAAAACTATCATGTTACACAGCTGTGACGTAGAAAACTGTGAAGACACGTCGGCAATTATAGTGGAGAAAGGAGAAATCATAGGCACTTTTATTGTACCCTAAACCAACGAAACATGAAGTCGACTAACACGTTTTGTGTACTGCAAAGAAGGACAAAGATTACATGGCTGCCTCAAATCAATAACAGTAATAGGTTTAGAGTGCAGTACACTGTCACTGATTTGTCGCGTATTGACAGACGTGGTTGGAGTTATCAGGGGTAAAAATACAAGGGTTACAACTGCTTTCTAACCCTTATTACTTTTTTTTGGCTTTTAATGAAATGATCGGCAGGACAAATTTCACTAATAGTAAACATTTTGAGAGATTTCACCATAGCGAATTGAAGGAAATCGAAGGTAAAGCCAAATTATCACTGGCGTGCGCCTCTCTTCGTGAAGCCTTAGCTTGATAATGAAAATCATTTTGATAATATTTACTGCAGCAAACGATGATCCGAATCTTGCTCATCGCCTTTTGACGGCTTTTAGTGACCTTGAAAAGAAAAATAATAAAACGTTTCTGCAAAAACAATACGATGGCGTGCACGCCAACATTGAGCAAAAACCCTTCTGAACTTCCCTGGGTGCAATTCTGCAATTTTATCACATCATTTCTTACCATTAATTGTCTTTTTCTAGAATTTTTTCGTATATCTAGGTGGTAGTCAAAGTCATTTGAAACGCATTGCAAATATCTTTATCCCTCTGCAACTGAACTCTTTGTTGTCATTGAAGTTGGCCTTAGCTGGCCTCTCAAATCGATCCGAGTCACTGATCTGGCACTTCCATCTCTCAGATTTGTTCTTTTTGCCTCCAAAGTTGTAAGACTTACATCGCTCTTCGTTGACACACTCCAATCTACAAGAGCTTTCTAATTTCACCTCTATCTCCTTTATCACGCTCCCGTTGAGTTGTCTCCCGTCCATCATCTGGCCAAAATTAGCGGCTTGAAATCTGGGAAACCTGTTTGAAATGCGACTTGTTGCATAAGCAGCGACACTGATCAAGAATAATATTAGTAGGTGCATGTTTAAGCAGATAGGTAGATGCAAGAGGTTTCCTCAGCCAAAATTGGGATGCCAAGGGTATTAGTTAGACTCATTATTGCGTGTTGATTCTGATTCAGCCAGAGACTCGTAATCTCAATGCGCTTGGCACCTGGCAATTTTTCCTATTGTTAATTCTTAGCTTTGTTATTATAAGAATTCTTTGCTGAATTCCCAGTCAGCTACTCCAGCACTACGTGGTTAACATCTGGCGTAATTTTAAACAAAAAATTCATGTAATCACATCTCCTTTGAAGAGAAAAACAATTAGGATAGAAATAGTTTAGTCTTTGTAACCTGCTTGGACCTTTTAGATAGGATAGAATGGTAGTTCTCTATTTAATATTTAAAAGATCAGTCGGAAGAAGTCTCTTTTGTCAAAAAAATAGAGTAGGAGTGATACTTTTGCCGAGAGTTCTTTTGTTATTTGTTTTTAAAAGCTTAGAGGTTCCTTTCGTCAAACTTTCTTTTTTTTTAACGTGCTTGCGATAAATTAATTGGGAGGCTTTTATCGTGATTGTGTGAGCTGAACACAAATAATAAGTAGGGTAAGGAACAAATGAATAAAGGGGGTAAGTTTCTAGAGAATCTATGGCTGCCACCGTAAAGAGCCTTTGTCACGAAACACTGCCTGTAAGAAATGCGTGACAAGGGGACTGTGAATAAGTCTTGCATAGAAATCCTAGAGATTACAGTAAAAACTCCTGTTTCTTGCGGTGTGCTCTTGTGAGGAAATTATACTTTATATTTTACGCGTTTTTACGTGCGAAGTTTTTCCTCTATGATAGATTATTACCGCCATTCTCACGATGTTATCCATCAATGATTCTTTTAGCTCTGTGAGAAAGTATTGAAAGAGTAGGAAAATAGAGTGGTGATTAGTAGTTCGCAAATAAGTCTTGCTAAAACATGAATCAATTCATAAGAAATGTCTGAAAGGATCTGTCTCGACAGGCGGTCAGATAATCCAACAGCGTGTTTACAAAAGCTTATCGACTTTTACAGCCGTATGCGCATTCAAGCCTTGTGGTTGGTTGATTATTAGAGGTGTGTCTAGGGGAGAAGGGCTAAGGAGCGAGGTGAGTTTCTCACATTTAGGGACACTTTCCTCCTCCACTTGCCCCATTTTTCTTGTGAAGCCAACACTGCAACCATTATCCTACAAGGTGATACAAATGCTGTGCGATATCTTTCTTTAAACTATTTATTTTGAACTTTTATTGTTCAAGAACTTTAACAACACACCTTTTCCCCAGGCCCTCAGGGGAAGTGTTTGATCCGAGGAGATATTGGACACTCAATTGGTGTCTTCTCTCAGATCAACACGGAGAAAGGTTCGATCGACCCGGGTGATCACGGTGGTTTTTCTATCGAAAGGTGGGTAAAAGACCCTAGTTGCATAGCCTTCAATTTAGAAACGATTGTAGGTGCCTGGGTAAGGATTTCCGCATCCTTCATACTCGCACTTAAAAGGTCTCTGGAAGTAAAATTACGATTACAACCAATACTTATATTTCTAAACAAACACTGCAAGGAGAAAGCATGTTTGAATAGCATTATCTCGTGTTTATTGCAGTTTACCATTTCTTACACATGGATTAATGAGCAAGTGTTCATAAAGGCTATAAATAGGCCAAATTTCAAAAAATGCAATAAAACGAAATTGCTCAGTATCCATCCACCTTCATAAAAATCTGGCATCCCCTAAGTTTAGATTTTCACCTCAATTGATAAAGTCAACGTACACCCCATAGAAGAAAGTCAGAAAGTGGCAAAATTGGAGTGGAGAGAATTTGCCTTTGATTGCTTTCCAATAAAATTCACTGTGTATTTCTGAGAAGAAAGCACAGCGCTGTATCTTCCACAGTTCAAGGAGTTGGCGTTTTGGTGTGAAAGAAGCATGTAAGATCATGTAATACATGCAACTTGCGGCTATTGTATGACGTCGTCTGGAATGCAGGATTTCGGCATAACCGAATCGCTAACTGATGCTAAATTCATTTTAAATGAAAGTTAAAGGAAAAAAGCGAGTTGTGTTTAAAAACCTTCAAATTTCTAGAAATCACATATTTTCTTGGCCAAGTTCTTAACATAAAACAATTCCTCGAACCTACGCTCAATGCCTTAGTGACGAACCAAAACGTACCAGACGAACAGAGTAACAGCACGTTTCAGATGAAGTACCCTTTAAATTCACAGTTTAAAGTTATTAAAATTTACAGATTTTGTTCGAAGGACGCAGGAAACAAACCTGCCTCTCCTGTATGAGACCTCTTATACTTCTGAAGCCTCCATTTCTTGTTGTAACTTTTCCCACATTCTAAACAGGTTTAACCCTCTCCGAAGTCCGCCATGTTTCGGAGGTCTGTTTGTTGAAGAGAGACTTAGTCTAAGTACAAACCAACGTCGTTTCTAGGGTCCTCTCTCTTCTTACCACTTGCGAAACACTTCCCCAGGGTTCCCCAGGCGTTTTTTATCGAACGATAAGAAAAAAGTCCATAGCTTTGGAGTAAGTTTATGAAAGTAATTGCCTGACTTTTTAAAGTCAGGATACGTGTCTGCTCGCAATTATTTCGCACAGTAGTTATGAGGTGCTGTGCGTTCGGGCTTGGACAATCACAATAAAGAGCAAGCAGTAGACAAATGCTTCACATAACTGCTTTATTATACAGAACTGCACAATATGAACTTATTTTTCTGATTTGATATAATGGTAAAATCACGTGACTGTGGTTAAGGTGCTCTAGAGACTGTTATAAACAAGTTTATTCAATAACTTAGGAAATAAACCTGGAATAGTAGTAAACGGCTACATTAAGACCAGAAAGTAGAGATGAAGTCCTGGTTTTCTCAAATACAATTGGAGGCATACGCATTAAAACCCTTTACATTAGACTTCCTTTCCCAACAAATGTTACTTTGCGTCAAGATCAACAAAGACAAATAAATCATTTATTTGTAGACGGATGAATACTCAAAAAGTGGCAAATGAAAAAAAAAAACATGAATTGAACAGAATTATATGTTGAAAATAATGAAATCATAATAATTTCACACACATATTCTAGGAGAAGAAAGCTGCGTTATTCTAAGTTCAATAAATGTTTTAAAAGTTTTCCAAATCTTTAATACCCTTTCCAATGTTACTTTTGTTGAGTTTGCTCCTTTATCTTGACCATGCAATATGTAACCGATATGTCAACTCCTGTAATTATTATTGTTCCTATTACCAGCAGCAAATGATGGCCATTACAATCATAAATTATCTCCTTTAGCATCGCATGAGGTGGCCCAGTTTCGCCAATGATTTTAGTTTTGCCCTGAACTGGTTGAAGCGGTGCTGCTTATGTTCCGAAGAATCACATAAAAATTCACACCTCTACGGGGTGATTTGAAAATGGCCCCAAAATCACGTAAACCGCTGTACAGGGCTCAAAAGCCCGATCAATAAACTAATGAGTAGCTTCGTTATATACGTAAATAAAGATGCGACGGGAGACTGGGACGAAAAGGATCGATAACTGGAGTGTGTTGTGGCCGTGGTCTGGACCCAGCTAGTCTCTTCGTGAAACCAAAAGAGAAAAGGAAAGAAACAACAACACTGATCTACTTTACTTTCATTTCTGTACGTTTCAGTGAGTAGTAATATCCTTTAAAAGGAATCCAGTTGACGCCATCAGCCATTGAGAAGTGACTTCTATTGAGATACAACCCGTTTAGATTGGAATGATGACAGCTCCTGTACCACCAGGCGCCTTTGAACTGCTGAGCACAGCTGGCGTCCGGTTTTATGTCGTTGTCACTATCTCTTGTGGAGAACTGCATGTCACTACGAAAAGTTAACACCATAAAATACGGTTTGTAGATCTTATAATTAAATATTGTGATAGAATTTGAGCTTTTGGTACACTAGTTCAACATGTCATAAGCCAAAATCGAAAATGGCAGATACAAAAAAAAAATAAATAAATAAATAAATAAATTTGAATGAACTGAGAATATTTTTAAGATTCCATCTCTTTACTCATACAAGTCTCGAAACGAATAGATATAAAAATTTTTGCCTGCAAATTATCGGACATTTTACTTTTAATAACCTCGTTTTTAAACTACTGTTTATTATACCTTTGTTCATTCAAACCGTCTCCAGCTGTCCCACTGTATCCACCAATTTGAATTCGGTATTTATCTATCTGGTCCGCCACCTTAAATGTCGCGTACTCAGCGTATGTGATGTTACCTTCGAAGTCCTCCAGGTCAACTCTCAACGAAACGTTACCAGCGGCTGTCAAACGATGAAGATTGTCATTTCCAAGCCAGAACTCGCCGTGTAAATCTCCGAAGCCATTTTTGTAGGACGACCAATCTCGATAGAAATCAACAGAGCCGTTCAAACGTCTCTGAAAAACAGTCCAACCTCCACGGTTCGTGGTCATGTCACACAACACTTGCATGGCATTTCCGCCATCTGGATTAATAGTGTACACGCCACTAGATGTGACACCATCTTGATAAAGTAGAGCACAACTTTTGGGTTCTATTGGTTGACGAAAAATTTGATTTGAATGGTACGCTTGGACTATAGTAAAAGTAATTTATTTTTACTTAGTCATGGGGGTAGAGTTTCTCTTGATAATGAATGATTATAACGTTTGTAAAATACCAACAACAACAACAATTACAACAACAAAGGAAATTTATTGAGAGGAGGGGTTGATCAACAAATATAGAAGTTGCGTACACCTAGTGCTCGAGGTGTGAAATTTCTAAGTTCGAGCAGTGAAAGCACTATTGTGCCGGTTTTCTTTGCTTTTTTTCTTTGCATTATTATTGTCATTATTATTTCACTTACTACAGGGCTTTCCCGTGTAACCATCCTTGCAAATGCATCTTGCACTGTTGGTTCGAATGTTTACGATGCAGATTTCGTTCTTGCCACAATCTGACTTATCTCGTTCGCATACGCTCTGATTGTAAACGACAACAATAATGATAACAATATTAGTGAGAGTAATAAAATTTATAACGATGGTGATAATATATCAATGATGCCGACGATGATATTGATGATGATGATGAAGTCATTATTATTATTAACAATTGTTTATCGAAGTAGAGGTGGATAGTGGTGGATATTTAGCGAGCCGTTGAGTGGCCTACGAGGTAAATATCCCCCGCTTTCAACGACACTGAGGAGCATATCAAACTCATGGGGTACAAGTAGTCTCAACATGAATGTAGTGACCACGCCCACTTCAACACCCCACTCAAATCGAGTGTAATTTTCGAATGTTTTAGCGTCGTACGGATTCTCTACGGAAAAAGCACTCAATGTACCTCTGAAATATCAAACTACAATATTGTGGCTTTCTATTTCGCTAATTTTCTAACTTGAAGGTAAAGTTTTTCCCTCGTCATTTTTACCTTTTCTCCGAGCTGTTGGGTGAAATTAACAAGGCGTTTTTGATCAAAACACGACCGAGCGAAGGGTCTCGGGCGATATCTCTTTTACGCAGGCGCAAATTAAAAATCTACTACCAGAATCAAAAAGAGGAACAAATTTCCTTTGTTTTGATATGTAAAGTGTCGAACAAAAAGCAGATTTACCCTCGTCAAATGGCGTTTCAAAACAGCTGTATCTTCCTCTTTTTGATTTTTTCCTGTTTTGTAAGTGTGAAAGCAGTTGGAAAGGGATCGGGAAACTCAGTAAGCGCTTCGGGAATTAATCTGCCATCGTTTACTTACAAGATAAACAAGTAAGATTTGTGAAGTTCGTTGAAGTATGAAGTCTAAATAAATGCCTTTTTTAAGCTTGCTGTATTTTTCGTAAACTTCCCTGATTAATTTTTCGTTTCAGCTTACTAATCTATACTATTTCAAAGCAATGTAAAGACGAAGACGGAGAACCATGAGTAGGTCCTTTCAATCGTAAACAAAGTGTTTGAACAGTCAGGTATACGAGGTGTAATATAATCAATAGCTGCATATCAGAAGTCTTCAGAAAGAAAGTATTCTTTCTTCAGAAAGCTGTCAAGAAAGCTAGTAATCGTGGCGGAAGGCAATTAAATGCACTTCTTAGCAAGATGGAAACGGGCCCACGGTATCGATTTTATATCATATCGATCTCAATATCATACAGTTTTATATCTTTCTTCCGTGGATTTGCCTTTCTAACGAGGGTGTATGTTGAGTATTCATTGCAAAATCGCTTTGTTTTTTTTTATTTCCCTCTTTGGCTTGTCCACCATTTTAAAAATTCGTAAAGGAGAGCATGCGCACTACGTGGGGTTAGTGGTTGCGTACACCTGGAACCGAGAAAAACAAATGTTCGTCGCACTGGGGAAAGAGTTTGATATGTGACTGTTTTAGTCTAAACCATACAGATAACAAAAGAATTAGCCAATCTACTACAATACGCTTGGAAACTGAAATGTTTTTGCCACAATTAGCAGCAATGTCGCAATTTGATTGGCCAATTTGTCGATGTCGGCTGCTCGCGTCTATTGTCACACAATAGCTTTATCAGCTCTCTGACCAATGTGATGACCAATATCTTTGTCGCTAAGAGTATAGACCACGCTAGGCTACTCTCGACTTGTTAAATAGCAGCGCCATTGGTATTGTCAATCTACGAGGTCGTTTTATGTTATGACGAACTAAGATAATCTCTAGCTTTCAATCGGAAAAAATAACTTCTTAACTAAACTTTGTGGCTAGTAATGAAAGAGAGTTCTCTATGATTCTCTAATGTTTTGTAAAAATGCTTGAAAGAACGTGTCTGCTTCAATTTTGCGTTTTTTTATATTTGTCGTTTAAGGAGGCTCCATAGGGTTTTTTGATCGCGCGAGATCTGGGTGCGAACATAGTGGGAGCCTTACAGTAAATGGTTTGAACCCGGGGGTAACATGTAATAGTGTAGTTTGATCGTTCGGGTGAGTGTAGTCCTGAGAAGGACTGTTGTCGGTAGTGGTGACTGACGTTTCGACAACCTGAGCGGAAGTCATCCTCAGAGTCAAGGTAGTGGGAGTCAAATAGTGGGAGCCTTGAAAGTGACAAAATAGCGTGGCGGCTCAATACGCCTGAAAAAGAGGTCAACCGAAAACAAAACCCAGTGGGAAAGATTGCCAAAACGCGACGTCATTACGTAATGTTTTGCGACAGAGAAATTAGGGATCTTTTGAGCACGATTTATGGCGTTTCCTCAGATGGAATTTCCTAAGATTTGTTGGAGCATTAAACATGTTTGTGCCCTTCCTAGTGCCTGTTGATAAAAACAATTCATAGGACCAAATTTGAGATAGAGAAAGATAACACAAAATTGCAAATAGCGAGGAAACTGCCTTTAATTTGTTACCCTTTTTCTCCAACTTTTAAATGATCGGCAGGACAAATTTCACAAATCATGAACATTTTGAAAGATTTCATCGAAGTTGAAGAATTATAACTGGCGAACGCCTCCCTTCGTGGAGCCTTAGCTTTATCACGAAAATCATTTTAATAAAATTTGCTACAGCAAACGATCGCCGATCGTCTGAACCTTGCTCATCGCCTTTTGATGGCTTTTAGTGACCTTGAAAGACAAAATCATAAAATTTTTCTACAATAACAATACGATGGCGTGCGCGCCAACATTGAGAAAAATACACTGTAGAGCCTCCTTAGATGCAATTCTGCAATTTTATCAATTTATTTTCTTTTACCATTAATTGTCATTTTCAGGAACTTGTTCGTATATCTAGGTGGTGGCCAAATCTTTTGAAATGCATTGCAAATACCTTTATCCCTCTGTAACTGAAGTCTTTGTTCTCAATGAAGTTGGCTTTAGCTGGCCTCTCAAATCGATCCGAGTCACTGATCTGGCACTTCCATCCCTCAGGTTTGTTCTTTTTGCCACCAAAGTTGTAAGACTTACATCGCTCTTCGTTGACACACTCCAATCTACAAGAACTTTCTGATTCCACCTCTACCTCCTTTATCACGCTCCCGTTGAGCTGTTTCCCGTCCATCATCTGGCCAAAATTAGCGGCTTGAAATCTGGGAAACCTGTTTGAAATGCGATTTGTTGCATAAGCAGTGACACCGATCAAGAATAATATTAGTACGTGCATGTTTAAGCTGACAGGTAGGTCAAGACGTTTCCTTAGCCAAAATTGGGATACTAAGGATATTAGTAAGACTCGTTACGTAATTTGTTTTTGACTCTGATCCAGCTAAAGACTCCTAATCACAATGCGCTTGGCACCTGGCAATTTTGCCTATTTTTAATTCTGCCTTTGTTATTGTAAAAATTATTTGCTGAATTCCCAGCCAGCCAGCACCAGGTGGTTAACATCTGGCGTAATTTCAAACAATTATAATTTCATGTAATCTCTTCTACTTTGAAGAGAAAAACAATTAGGATGGAAATAGTTTAGTCTTTGTAACCTACTTGGACCTTTCAGATAGGCTAGACTAGCAGTTCTCTATTTAATATTTAAAAGATCCGTCGAAAGAGGTATCTTTTATCTAAAAACTAGGGCATAAGTGATATTTTGCCAACAGTTCCTTTGTTACTTTTTTTTTAAAGCTTAGAAGTTCCTCTCATCAAACTTTTTTTTATCGTGCTTGCGATGAATTGATTGGGAGGCTTTCAATGCGATTGTGTGAGCTGAACACAAATAATAAGTAGGGTCAGGAACAAATGAATAAAGTGGATAATTTTCTATAGAAACTGTGGTGGTCACCGTAAAGAGTTTCAAAGCTGACGTTTCGGCGGTAGCCCTTTGTCACGAAACTCTGCCTGTAAGAAATGCGTGACACCCTCACACGAAGACTGCATGTGAACAAGTCTTGCATAAAAATCCTAGAGATTACAGTAAAAGCTTCTGCTTCTTGCGCTGTACTCTTGAAAGGATATTAAATTTATATTTTACGCGTTTTTACATGTAAAGTTTCCTTTGTGACGGTTTATTATCGCCATTCTCATGATGTTAATCCATTTATGATTCTATTGGCTCTAAGAGAGAGTATTTGAAGAGTAGAAAGTTCGAGTAGTAATTACTAATGCATAAGTAAGTCTTACTAAAACGTGAATCAATTCATAAGAATTGTTTGGAAGGATCTGCCTCGACAGGCGGTCATACAATCCAACAGCGTGTTTACTGAAGCTTAGCGAGAATGACAGCGTACGTGCATTCAAGCCTCGTGATTGGCTGACCATCTAGAGGTGTGTATAGGGGAAGGGACTAAGGAACGAAGTGAGCGTCTCACATTTAGGGACACTTTCTTCTTCAACTTGCCCCATTTTTCTTGTGAAACCAACGCAGCAACCATTATCCTATTAGGTAATAAAAACGCTGTGCGATATCTCTCTTTAAACTACTAATTTTGAACTTTTAACGTTCAAGAACTTCAACACACCTTTTCCCCAGGCTCCCAGAGGGAGTGTTTGATCCGAGGAGATATTGGACACTACCCACTAACTGCGGTTTCCTTGGACCAACGCGCAGAAAGGTTCGATCGACTCGGGTGATCACGGTGGTTTTTCTATCGAAAG